CACAAGTTTGGAATCCTCTGTTGCAAACAGAGCTGCTTTCCAACTCCTCGTATGCTACTCTGTCACATGATACTGGGGCTTAACAATTACATAACTGAAAACGTCACCCCTGAAGTGTTTGCTGAATTCAGGTAAGAAGATAGCCAGGATTGGCTCAAATCATCCACAGTTAGAGCTGGAAGAGGCATCAGAGGGCATCTAAGCTTACTGCATCCATTTTACAGATAGAGAAACTGAAATACAAAGAAAATCACATGCGTAAGTCCAAAGCAGAGCCAGGACTGGAAGACAGACTTCTGCATCTCAGGCTCTTTCCAAGAAGAAAGGGGAATGATTTTGCTTACAGCGCCCTCCTGAACCATGAAACCAGAGCACATCTGTGGCCCAAACCATCTTCCTGAAGACTTGCATGAAGCCTTAGAGCAGCGTGGCTAAGACATGAACCCTAGAGCCACATTGTGGCTCTGTTGCTGCCTAGTTGTGGGACCTTGGACAAGTTACTTCACTTCTTTGTTTCCTCTTCTATAAAATGGGGACAATAAGGGTGCCTGCCTTATAGGATTACAATGGTTAAATGAGATAATACTTTCAAAGTGCTTAGAACAGCACCTGCACACAGTAAGTGCCATATAAGCACATGTTAAACAAAAATCAAAACAGGAGGTATATGGAATATAACAGAGAGGGCAGTGGCCTAGGTGCCAGTGGACCTGGGTTCTGGTCTGGTTCTGTTTGGATGTGAGACCCAGAGCAAGTTCCTTCCCCTCTCTGGACTCAGTTCCTGCTCTGTAAGTTGGGGGTGGGGGGTGGAGGGGTGTTGGATACCTGCTGACCGGCTAAGAGGCCTCTCAAGGTCTGCATACCTTTGGCCTCTCCCTGTGTTGTGATTTCAGAGCCAAGGGGGGGGTGAAACTCGAGCTGGAATGTTTGTGCTCTCAGGAGGAAGGGAGCCCCACTAGGCCCTTTCAAAACTTACATACTGTCTTGCAAATCAGGTAACAGAGCAGATTTCAGTGAAGGGGCCAATTGTGTGGCTGGGACAAAAAAACCACTGGACTCCATTATCTCCTATCCTCTCTCTGATTTCTCTTTTCTTTCCCTTAAATGGAGAGAGAAAGGGGTCTTTGAAAACATCAATCGTGAAACCACATTGATATGAGAACCACAGGTCTCAGATGACCCATGCCTACCCCCACACCCATATGCAAGATTACTTTTCTCCTGCCACAGCGGGACGTGAACACACCTTGGAGCCCATTTGAAATCTGAGTCTCCACTCCCTGGTCATGTGAATCCAGGCAAGTTAGTGGGCAGCCCAGCCTCGGGTCCCCCATCCCTACAGTGGTCCCAAGCAGTGTGGCCTCTTTCCTGTTAACCACCTGGGTGGGAGAGCTGGCTGTACAAGAGGTACAGAGGCTCTGGCAATGCACTGCTGAGGCCAGATACTCTGATATTGGGGTGGGGGTCCTGTGGGAGCTCTTTGCCGGTTTAGGGGTGAAACTGAGCTCCCACTGGGACCTCAGAGCAGTCCTTAGAGGCTGCACTCTCAGTTCCGTGAGGGCTCCGCCCTTTGCCTCCCCTCCCCCACTCCCAGGCCTGACATGGGCTTTCATACTCGTCACCATCTGCCCTATTTGCAGCCACAGCCTAATCTAACCTCACCCCCATCCAGCAGCTCAGGGCAACTCCAGCAGCCCAAAAGGCCAGAGACAGGAGCACCCATCCTCAGCGTCAGCTCCCAAAACTGCCAGGACCCTTAAGTCACTGCTCTCCAAGGGCTCCCAGGCCTACTGAGAAAAGTCCAAACTCTGCAGTCTGCTTTGCAACCCCGCCCCCACATCATCTAGCCCCAATTCCCTTTCTGGTAGCATCTAACCCTTCGCAGAAATCACACTGAGACACCCCCTCCCCAATTACCTTCCGTACATGAGCCTTTGCTTAAGGCCTTCACTTGGTCTGGAATTAGGAAAATCCAGGGCCCAGTTCCAATATCACCTGCTCTGCGAAGCCTCCCACCAGTAAGAATTAATCCTCTCTCTGAGCTCCCTGTCTGCTCCCATTTAGGATGCAGTGTGTAATGCCTGCTTCCCCACCAGCCTGAGCTCCTGAAGGGCAGAGTCCCTGCCAGGCTCTGCAGTTGGTGCCCAGCACAGGGCCTGGTGCTTGGCAGGTAACTGAGCCACATTTCTTGAGTTAAGTAGAAGTGCTACATCCTCCTTTTCTCTCACTTTTTAAAGCTGCTTATTGTTGTAATTCTATGCAACATGATCTAGGATGGAGTTAGAACAGGATAATTTTATAGCCGTGAAGCTGGGGCTTGACTGTTCCTTGCTTACATCACTGTTTTTACTGAAACCTGGGCTCATGGGGACAGAGGATGCAGCCTCCTCAACCAGAAGACCTTTCTCCTCTTGGGCCTGGGACTCAGGACCCCTAGACAAGGATTCTGGGTTATCTAGAAAGAAGCCACTTAATCAAATCTGGAGATAAGACCAGGTTAAAGCTCACTGAAGCTTAGCCCTGAAAGGGACCAGCCAACTCCATTATTTTGCAGATGGGGACACCGAGGCCTAGAGAAGGGTAGCAACTGGCCCAAGGTCACATGGAGTCAGAGACAGGGCCAGGGTTGAAAGTGGAGCATCTAACTTCCGGTCCTGCATTTTTCTTGCTAACCTGTGCACCCTGCACATTAGAAGTGATTATTAGTGGGTTAGTGAACTGATATCAAAGCATTGTTTTCTTTATGGATCGCTTAAACCAGAGCTGAGCCATGACTGTTTTTTTTTTTAAAAAGGTATGAAACACTTCATTTTCAATTAAAAATACGTCAAATGGAAAATTCACTTAATTCAGTAGCATTCATTATCTATCTTCTCTGTGCTGGGCATTGACCTGGTCACCTGGGATATAGTTATAGGATGAAGACCCCTGTCTAGTAGGCCAGCTGGGAATCCCTCCCTGAACCCTACTCTCAGTTCCAGCGAGGCTTGCCACACCACGTGCATGGCTAAGGAGACGTCTGCCTCTTGGTGCTGTGTATATCCTGACTGCAGAGGCGAATTCTAATCAAACTTCTTAAATGTTCCCACTATGAAATGTGATGATAAAACATCACACAAGTGAGAGGGATTCTTCTAGTCCCTTATTTTTCAGCTAATTCACTCCACTACACATGCTGTTTATCATCCCGAAACAGCTGGCCTGATAGAGCAGTGGGATAGATAGCCTTTTGAAGATTCAGTTACAGCTCCAGCTAGATGGCAATACTTTGCAGAGCTAGGGCAAGGTTTTTCAGAAGGCTGTATATGCTCTGAATTGACAGCCAATATATAGTACTGTTTCTACCATAGCCAGGATTCATGGGTCTAGGAACCAAGGTTGGAAATGGAAGTGGCGCCACTCACCATTACCCCTAGGGACCCATTAGCAAAAATTTTGCCTCCTGTTCCTACAACCTTATGCTTTGCTGACTTAGAGATCTTAGTTTCAAAGGGAGGAATGCTTCCATCAGGAGACATGACAATAATTTCATTAAACTGGAAGTTAAAATTGCCACTAGGCCACTTTTGGGCTTCTCATACCTCTGAATCAACAGGCAAAGAAGGGAATTACTGTGCTGGCTGGGGTGACTGATTCTGACTACCCCGGGAAAATTGGACAGCTACTTCACAAGGGAGGAAAGAAAGCATATGTCTGAAATACAGGAGATCCCTTGGTGTATTGTTTTTAGTATTTCCGTGCCTTGTGACTAAGATTAATGAAAAACTACAACAACCCAATCCAGGCCGGATTACTTATGGCACAGACTCTTCAGGAATGATGGTTTAGGTCACCTCACCAGGTAAAGAACCACCACCAGCTGAGGTGCTTACTAAAGGCAAAGGGAACACACAATGGGCAAAGGAAGAAGGTAGTTAGAAATGTCAGCTCTGAGCATGTGACCAATTACAGAAACGAGGACTGTCGTTGTCATGAGCATGTCCTCCTTATTTTATGAACATGTTTGCGTGTGTGTGTGTGTGTGTGTGTGTGTATAGCAAACATCTTTGTTTTTTCTCCTCTGATTATTCCTTTATCATGTAACGTAAGATGTATTAACTTTATATCTTCGTATTTAAGTATTGTTCATTTTACACCATAGTATTTAAGTTACAGGATATCAAGGAGAAGAGTAAACATCAGTCAAAGTCTTTACCTCCTCCTCTGGGGAAGGAGTATGTTTTCCATTGTACACAGGGTTGTACCATGTTAGGAAAAATTATGACATTGTTATTGTCTTTATTTAACAGTTAAGTGTGGTTTAAAGAGATATGTGTGCATGCCAGTTGACGAGGGGTGAATTTGTGATGGTTACTTTTACGTGTCAACTTGACTTGGCCATGGGGTGCCCAGACATTTGGTAAAACATTATTCTGGGTGTGCCTGTGAGAGTGTTTCCAGAGGATATTAACATTTGAATCAGTAGACTGAGGAAAGCAGACTGCCCTCTCTAATGTTGGTGAGCACCATCCAACCAGCTGAAGGCCTGAATGGAACAAAAAAGCTGATCCTCCCACGAAGAGGAGGGAGTTGCCTCCTGCCTAAATGCCTTGAGGTGGGACATTGTATGTTTTCCTGCCTTTGGACTCTAAGCATCAGTCTTCCTGGGTCTTCAGCCTGCCAGTATTTGGACTGGAGCTACACCATCGGTTCTCCTTGTCTCCAGCAGGCTGACTGCAGATCTTGGGACTTGTCAGCCTCCATAACCACACGCACCAATTCCTTATAATAAATCTCTTTTTCTCTCTCTACATATATCCTATTGATTCTCTTTCTCTGAAGAACTCTGATACAACACATTAAAAAAAAAACCCTGCAAAAGCAATGTTACTCTCATGTCATTGCTATAGAAGGAAAAAGGAAATGGTGGCTTCAGGATGTGTACAACTGTCCCTCCCCAAGGTGGTATGGTTGCTGTCCCTGCATCTGTGACAACGTGTTCCCCTTCAGCACCTACTCACATCAGGGTCCAGCTCATCCAGCTCATTTTCTAGGGTCCTGAGCTCTTCCTCTGTTAGAGCTCCAAGGATTTTATCTTCATCCAGGTCACGGTATTTTTCTAGTTCTCGTCTGTATGACATTGTGGAAGAACTTATCTTTGTCTTCTGAGTTTCTGTGTTGATCTATAACCTACAGGAAAGAGAAAAATCTTAGAAAGGCCCTTCTCAGATTTGCCCTCTCAGAGCAAATGTATACTCATCACTCACCTGGTGGCCTGGGCATGTTTTATGAATTGGCAAGGTAATAATTACTATAGTGAAATACTGCACTAAGTTGGACTAATTCTCTAGTAAAACTGCAAGGTGAAAGTCCTGAGGGCATGTGATTTAATAAATTGTAATTGGTTGTAATTGGCCTGGCCATTAATTATAGGTAAATGGGTGATTATAAGTGGTTTATGAGCACCTGGAAACAATTTTATTCTTCAAGTAGCTCAAATACTTCTCCATATAACCCTCCACCCTTCACCTCAGACTCAGGTGTGAATTACGAATGCTGGAAACTCTGCCAAAACTCATTTTAAAAGGGAGAGGGGATATCAGTGGTTAATCGAACACCTACTGCATGCAGGACTTTCCCTACGACATCTCATTCAATCCTCACATAAAGTAGCTATGACAACAGCCAACCTATGAAGATAAGACCAGGTTAGATGCTCACAGTAGCTACCATATGCCAAGCCATGTGTTAAGCACTTCACAAAGATTTTCTAATTTAACCTAGGAGGTAGGTATTTACTATTATCCTCATTTTGCAGATGAGGACATTGAGCTTAAAGAGGTTAAGTGACTTACCCGAGTCACACTACTGGGAAGTGGCAGACCTATGCCTTGGACTTAGGTCTGCCGGCTTCTTGAGCCACATTGCACTAGCCGCTGCCTCACAGCACATCTTCATAGAATCACCTAGTGTCATAGCCAAAAAGAGACTACCTAGTTCACACCCCTCATTTCACTCCCGAGGGAGCTGGTTCAGAGGGAGGAAGCAATTGGCCCTGGGGGATGCAGGGAGACAGTGCCCACGTCCTCCCCTCCCAGGCTGCTCTGTCTTGCAGGAGAAGGCTACTGACTATCTCCCACTTCACGATGATACCTGCTGCCTGTGTGTGAACCCTGTCTCTGCTGCTTCCCATAACCATGACATTTTCAGACTTGTTAACTCACTGGAGCCTCACATCATACCCTGTAAATTAGGTCTTTTAATTCAAACCATTTTATGAATGAGCCAACAGAGGGAGGGCCAAGTGCTTGACTCAGGACCCCCGATGTCAGCTCGCAGTGCTCTCCACTACACCACACTGCCTCTCGCTTAACCCAAGAGAGACAACGGGGCTGTCTCCAGCTTGACCAAAACTGTCTGATAACACGACAAGCCCAGCTCACATGTCACCACCTTGCAAAGCTCTGGTGTCCCCTCACTAAGCTGAATTCATCATGGCCCACAGCATTGGGTCCGCACCTCTCCATGCAACTCCGTGTCCCTCTCCCACTTGGCTTCCTTGTGGGCAGATCTTCATGACCCTCTCTCCAGGGCCCAGCCCAGGGTCGTGCATCTAACAAGAAGGTTATCACTGAAATTGACCCAATTCTAGCTCTCTACCAGCCTTTGTTGGTAGAATCAGACACCCTTGAGGAGATGCTGGGCTCTTTTCCTCTTGTAAATGTTAGCTTACTGCAGAAGCTGCTATGATCTCTGTCGTGTTACCTCTGTCCCCACCTGTCCTTCAGCCTACCTGAGCTGCACCATCAGCCTTCCTTTCTGAAGCCAATGCACTGCCAGGTGAGGCAGTGCTCAGGCCTTCCTTAAGTACTGCAGAGTAGAACGTAGTACTGTGGATCAGCAAGATGGTTGAATTGTGTCTCTGCAACTTCATATGTTGAAGTTCTAACCCCAGAATCTCAGTAAGCCAGTACCACCACGCAAGTAAGAATGTGAACTTACCTGGAACAGTGTCGTTGCACATATAATTATTTAAGTTTAAATGAGGTCATACTGGAGTTGGGTAGGTTCCTAATCCAATATAACCAGTGTACATATAAGAAGGGGAAATTTGGACACAGGCATGCACACAAGACATCATGTGACGATGGAGGCAGAGATTGGAGCGATGTTTCTACAAGCCAAGGAATGCCAAAGATTGCCAGCAAACCACCAGAGCGAGGGGAGAGGCCTGGAACAGATCCTTCCTCAGGGCCCTCCAAAGGAACCAACCCTGCAGACACCTCGATCTCAGACTTCTCCACAACTGTGAGACAACACTTCCTGCTGTTTAAGCCCCCAGTTGGGGTGCTTTGTTACAGCAGCCCTAGCAAACATATCACTGTTACCCCTTCTTCACTCCAGTCTGTTATCAGACGCCCACACAAACAAACAAAACCCACGGCAGGAAATGATTGATGGAATTTTCCAGAATAGAGAACAATGAAAACTAGGAAAAGACAACCAACCAATCAATCAAAAAAGCTGGGATTAGCTGTTAATTAAAAACAATGAAAGTAATCTAAAATAACTAAAACTAAAGTTTACTAAGCTAAAGAATAAGTCTCCATTTCAGAAAGCAGAGAGCACATTTTATTTGTGTAAGTATGTGCTTGTGTACATCTATTTGTAGGAGAAATCCAAGTATACGACAGCTGGCTTGATAAGAAGGACTTGCTTCCCAAATACAGAAACCTCAGTACCATCCTTTTCTCTAAGAATGGCTCAGCTTGGCCTGACGTCTTCCTTTGACCAGACCCCAAGAATGCAATGTTCAGACCATAAATGGGCCCCCCTGATTCATTTCTATTTACTTCCAAAGAAAGCACAACCAGCTGACAATGCTCTGGTATAGATGAAAAAAAAAACCTTCCTGAAGGGCCTCAGAGAACAACCTAATTTGGATTTTCCTTAGTGAATCCAGGAGAGGAAAAGGATCCATGATTTCCATCCTGGGGCCAAGAGAACCCCAATGAAGGGCTTGGAGGCTTCCAGAATCAATTCACAGAGATGTCCAGGACCACCTCCAAACTAGCATCTCTTAGAAGGGCTGGAAAACACAAGTTTTGTGGTCTCAGACTTGTTTGGGGTTATATGAAGTTCCACAGGGCTTGGACTGAAGGACTTCTCAAAATGCTGGCATGCTACTATTCAATGAGTGTCTCCAAGAGGACTAGGCTGCAAGCAGAAGTTTCTGATGCTTCTGATCATGAAACCATGTCTCTGAGAAACTGCTCCCAGAATTGGAAACTTGTGAAACAAAGGTTGGAAAACATGGCCTTAGACTCACCTCTTGGTCATATCAGGGGGCCACTCAGAACCACACAAGAAGGGACACAGGGACAGAACCAGCTGGGGCATAGCTCCAAAGAAAGTCAGACAGGTTGGAACCCTGAGAGCTTCCTATGCTCGTTATCTTTTCTAGCTGACTCATTTTCTAGATGATTTGTAGTGGAACCTTTAAAAAAAGAGTCATGGATGAACCGTGGAGAATGGATGAGCCAGGAGAGGAAACAGGGAAGAAAGAAATCCATTATCAAAGCCAGCAGGGGAAAAAGGAGCTGGGGCAGGAGCCAGAAAAGCAAAGTAGGTGACAACCATGGGGCCTGCTGATGGAGAGATTTGGGGCAGGGAGGCAGGCCTCCTCCCCATACTCAATTTCCTCAAGAAATCTCCTGTCATTGGACCCAGGGAAGTTAATGTACCATGTACACACCCCAAGGTGTTGCCGAATTCAAAAATCCCATTTCATTGAATTTCAGAAGCCTTTCCTAATGCCAACTATCCTGTGAATATTACGGGGTGATGAGGTATTACATTAAATAAGCTGAGAGGAATTGAGAACTCCCAAGGTAACCTATGAAGCTGTCAGCTCAAGCCACACTTGTCCGCTTGGCTCACAGGATTCTATAAAGCAGGATTCTCCTCCTGTGGTTGCTGACATGGGGGAACTGGAGGTGGAGAAGATACAGGGTGGGAGGGAGGCAAATAACACTCTTCCAGCGTGTTAATACAGCCCACTGGAAGCTCAGACTTAAAATATGGCTTGGAAGAGATTGGACCTTACAACTGTCAATAAAAGGCCTCCATTCCCTAACAAAAGAGGGGGTGGGGATGGAGCACGGCTGAGATTCCCAGGACTTTGGTTGGAGTGCTAGCTGTGATGGGGGCTCCCTGGGTGACCCTAACTAGGTTCCTTCCCTCCTCTGGGCCTCCACTTTCATCTGTAAAATGAAAGAATTGGATCCCATGGGTGGTTTTTAAACTGTGCCCAGGGGAGATCTCAGACTCTGAGAAAGTGCCTCCAGGCCCCTGCAGGGGGTTAAGGCTAAATGAGAGGGCTCACCCCTGATTTTACCTGATGTCTTTATTTGGGATTTCATATAAGATTTCCCTTGAAGAAAGGATTCTGCGGTTCAAATAAAAAGCTGCAAATCACCGAACTGGGTTTCTTGGTCTGAGAGTGAGAGGCTGATGCCGATTGGGTGTTGCAAGGATTTGGTGGCGTTGAGCGTGCAGCCTGGGGCTGGTGCACCGTCAGTGTGGGCTCCGAAGATGTCAGATGTCAGCCGCTGTTGGAGGCGCAGCTGCTGGAGGCTCCACCTCTCTCCGCACCTTCCCCACCTGCACTCTTGTCAGACCTTAAGGTTCCTCAGGAGAGGACCTGTGTCTTACTTGTCTTCATGTCCCCAGTGCCTTACCCTGTGCCTGGCCCAAAGGTGTCACGTGAGGAGAAGGAAATGAACACTCCTGGGGTCTAGTCTGGGGACCTTGGAACCTTGGGCAAGTCCCTTCTCTTCTGAGATCCGCCATCTTCCCATTTTGAACATGGAAAGATGGACCAGGTCTGGGTGGGCTGGGAATCCAAGGGGGGAGAACAGGAAGGGAGGGGGTGGTGAAGACCCTGGGCTCCGAGCATGGCCCACCTGAAGCAGAACAGCTCCTCTGTCACCTGCTTTATAAACTGGGCCCTGAGTAGGAGTCAGTGATAAAAACAAAAGGACAGGTAAATAAATTTAAAACACACTTACAAACTTAAATCTTCAAATCTGGTGTGTAGGAGTCAGTGAGAAAAACAAAAAGACAAGTAAATAAATTTAAAATACACTTACAATCTTAAATCTTCAAATCTGGTATGTATGAGGGACTTC